CTCCATTTTCAGTGGTCTTTCCACGCAAAAGTGCCTTGAAAATTGAAAACACAGCGACCAACGCAATCTCCACATGCTTAGAGCTACCATCTTCACACAAACTTGCCCCATTTTCTGGCTATTTATGTTGCCATTAACAGACAGCTTCATGCCTCGTATTGGCCTGAACTCAGACTGGAAACCAACACCAAGCACTGTCTCGTTATTAAAGGAGAGAGCTGTCATAGTCAGGCTAAAACTATCATTTCTCACATGGTAGTCCCTCCCTCTAAAAGTAGCTTCAAAACTCCCACCATATGCCACTTGTCCAGAACCCTTCATTCGCCCAGCATTCATAACAAACTTCAATCTCTTCCCCACCAATATGGTATCCTCAAGCTTAGCGTCAGCATAATATTTGATCCCAAATGATGTCAGAGAGACCCCACAATCAGTGACATTGTGCTTGAGGCTTCTCAGCTTTGCGTTACTGTGGGCAACATACATAAGATCTTTACCAGTACACTGAAGATCAAGTCCTACAGAATAAGTAGGCCCAAAGGATCTACATATTCTGCAGCCCATTCAGATTGAATACTGAAATCACGCTTGTCCTTATTCATCTGTCCTGTAATTGAAGCAAAAACATTCTTTTTCACCTCAAAAGCTGTCTCCAAGTTTATTCCATCAAAGCCAACGTCATGATCCCATCTATGGGAATCAAGAACAGGTCTCACAAGCCATTGGTCATTTTTGACAAGGCAGCGATATCTGTGTACTGGGCAATCAGAGTCAAAACTTGGAGGGAGGGACTGCAATATCTGGCAATGGGACAGCCTCTGGAGATACCTTGTCATCAGCATCATCTTCATCACCTGCAAAACCTTTCTCTTTGGAGAGCTTGCTCTCCTTCCGTCTCAGGCACTCTTCCTTCAACTGTTTTTTCAAATAGAGAGTCTGTCTATATTCCAGCTCATCAAGTTAGGCTTTTTTCTGTGATTTAGTCAATTTTTCAAATTGAGACTTTGTCAGGATACGAATTGACGGCAATTGATCATACTCCTTTTTTTCTTCGGCATACAAGAGCAGAATCTCATCAATTTCATTTTCTGGTTCAGCTGGATTTGATACTGACCGATGACCTAGAAAAGATGATAGAAGATGATGTAGAGAAGGCTACCTTTTGTTACTTAATGGTCCTAGTTCAATGCTTTCTTGAAATTCCAAGGGGGTGTTGGCATCACCAAGAACCTTGGTACATATGCATGATAAAGAGAATTGATATTTCCAAACCTGTCCATTTGGAAGTATATTTTCTCCCATGAAATTTTTTTTGCAGCAAGGGTCGTTCTCCACTAAAAGTATAGGGTTTTCAAGCCGTGTCAGATACTGCATGGTGCATATATTGCTGTACCAAATCAGTGCAACGGTTGACATAAGATTCATAACTTACAGTATACCCATTGGGTCCTTCAGGAAGAGTAGGAGAAGAATGTGTCATGACGAGGATGGTGTTAAACCAAATGGCACTACCAAAAACTTCAGTCATAAGCTTCAAAAGGGGGAAATTGCCATAACCTATGTTGATGAGGTCAAGCCGCTCAAAATATAAAACATCTGGAGGGGATCTTCTAATGAACCTCTTCACAGACAGCATAATATTCCTATTTCTTATCAAATTACTTTTAGATGAAGGTAGGAAACCAGGGGTATCAATGAATGTTATTTTAATCCCATTAACAGTTCCCACAACCTCCCGAATGCAATCAGTGGCAGGCTGAAATGCATTGGTCTCAGTTTTAGGTTGATCAGAGATAGAATTTATGGTTGCACTCTTGCCAAAGCCTGTTTTGCCAAGGACAAGTATTTTAATAGAGAAATCTAATTCTGGCAGCCCAGATGCCTCCTGTTCTCTTGCTATTGTTTTGGCTCTCTCGTTTCTTATCTTAAATTCACTCGTTTCAAATCTGATTCGCCTGCTCATATCAAAGTTGCTAAGTCCATCCTATATAAAACTTTTGCCACCATAAAATTGTCTTGAGATTGCCCTAACCATTGAAGAAGACGCAAGAATTTAATCTGGAGATTTTCGATCTTTGTCAATGGATCCATCTTTTTTCTATTAGGACTATCATGTGATAGATTAGAATCTTCAACTAGGATTTGCTGCTGCGAACAATAAGGGTCATTATCATGAATACTACCAGAAGAGCCTGATGTATCAGGAGGCACTGACAATGCTACCGAAGGGGTAATGTGAGATGAACCTAATGAAAAAAAAGAAAATATGCCCAATTGGTTACAGAATTTACATAATATACTCTCAACGTATTTTGTTCCATGAAACCACTTCTTTAGAATAATATCCGGTTAAAAGATAAACTTAATAAGGGATCCAGAGTACATCTCTAGTCAGAGAGGTGTTATCAACTTCCAGGTCAAAAGATTACCCAAAGCATCATAACAAAGTTTCAGCAAACAGTTGATTCTAAGTAGAGAAAACCCTAACTATCAATATGCCTAGTAATCTGTGAAATAGGCAGCTCCACACTGTACCATATAACAATGTTGTTTTGTCTCTTTTTTTCAAATTTTCAACTTCAATGAAGATAACCAAGCTTCCTTTTCTTTTTTCTTCTTTTTCTCTATGTTTCTGCTTCATTTAATTTACTGGCTTTGGTTTTCAGCAAAGTAGTTAACATCAACAAGACAGCTATTAGTAAACAAGTTTCTGTCTACTTAAGATCACCGTATCAAGTACTAAAGGTAAACCATCGAGCAATATAGTTTGGAATATCCCTTGAAACTAGCTGGTCCAAAGGACAAGTAAAACTCTTACATTTCCTAGGGATGAATTATAGCGCTATCCAATTATTATAATGGATGGTACTTATATCACAAATCTATCTTTATCCACTTGCACAAATTTTACTTCATGAGATTTAGACTATGAAATAGGTCATTTGGACTACAAGGGCCAAAAACAATACTACTAAATATATATGTAGAAAAGGGGAGAAGCTGATACCTTGATCACCAGATTCTTCCTCTGGAGACGAAGGAGCCTCCTGAAAGAAACCACCACTGCCGAACAGTGGTCTAGACGAGGCAAAGGATTTGGAGAGTACTTGAGTGAAAACGCAGTCTCTAATACCCTTCATCCTTCCTGAAATTTCTCCAAAAATGGCTCAGCTTATTGCTCATGCTAATACAATTTCATTATAAGCCGGTAATAGTATGAAAACTCCTCATCATAAATCATAAGCTTAAATTAAAGAAATTCTCATTCCCATATATTTTTAAAAAAAAAACCAATCATTCGAGTATAATCATAATTTTATATCAGTAAAAATTAAGGAATAAATTTAAGTGAAATAAAAATGATAGGATAAAATAAAACGCGAAACGGAACAAACATCGAATCACAGCAAAGTTTTTATTAAATGAAAAATAAATTGAAGTCTGAATTATACCCAAATTCAATCTCCCTGAAAGAAATGTTTGATCGAAAGCAACTATTTCATTTTAATTAATTTTATTTTATTTTCCTATAATAGAAATAAAAGGTTTTCTTTTCTTTTTTTTTCTGTAAACAGGAGAGGAAAAGAAAGAAGAGGCTGTGAGAGAGGAAGAAAATTCAGAAAAGCCAGACAGAGAATAGAAAATTTTCCAATATATTTTTTTTCTTTCTTCTTTCTAAGCGACTGCCAACGCCAATGCCAATGCCAATGCGCTGTTGTTCGCTAATTTGCCTCGTTCTTTTTGTGATACACGAGAGTGACGTTTTGCCAGGCGTAGCCGAGTCACAAATGGACACGTGGTGAAGTTTGAGAATGGAATTAGTTTATATATACTTTGATCAAAATTAGTCCATATAAAATAATTTTAAATAAATAAATCCTATAATTTTTGCGATTTAATGTTACTTATGAAGTTTCCGAACATGTTGGCCTTTGAACTCTGCTGACAAAATTATAAATGGAAATTCTATTCATACCTTCTTTTTCTACACTTTTTTTTAAAAAATTTTTGTAAGTGAAATATTTAATTATCTTTTAAGTATAACATTTTTCATTCCAAAAATACATTTTCAAAAATTTATAACAAGTAAAATTTTATGCAAAATTATAAAAAAATAAACTTCGTTAAAAATTATTATGAATTAGTGTAATGAAAAATTATTATTAAAAAATTATAAATTTTAAAATTAATAAAAATTTACTTTTATTATTTTGATTTTAAAAAAAATGAAATCTTATGAACCATGGACTAAATATTTTATTTCTTGATATTAGGAAAGGTGAGTGAAGAATTATAAAATTTGATCAATATATATGAGCTAAAATTTTTTTAAATTATACAAGTAATATTATTATATATTATATAATTTTGTTAAAATATAATACACTAATTGAAAATATCTATCGCAACAAGTAGATAGAAATTTTTTTCCAAAAAGTTTAATTTAATTAGAGATATTATAAAATTTTAATAATCTATATAAAAAATATTTAATAAAAATTTATATTTATTATTTTAACTTTAATTTAATTAAGACATCATAAAATTTTAATCTTTCTCTAAAATTAAAATACTAAAAGCATTTTTTATTAAATTTATAATTTATAATTTTTCAAAAAATACTTTTTTTCATTAACTCATCCATAAAAATTTTTAACAAAATTTTCTTTTTTGTAGTTTTTCATAACATTTGACTTCCACTAATTTTAAAAATAAAATTTCAAAATTTTGTAAGAAAGATAATTAAGTAATTTTATTTAAAAAATAAAAAAAAATGTAAAATTTTTTTTGAGTGCTGTATTTAAAACCACTTAACTATGAATCTTTCAACGAATGGAATCGTTGCCTGTTTTCAGATGGCTAATTGAAACACTTTATGGGATAATTATCGACAACCCATTACATCAAATTTTACAATAATCAAAATTCTGTTAATTGGTTGTTTAAGTCAAATGAATATGTTCAAAAATTTTTTATTTAGTGTTTTTTTAATTGTCAAAATAAACGGGAGCGTGACACCATCACCTTTTGGCCATATGCCACTCCTCTACGTTTCCAAAAATATGAAAATCTTTTACCTTGGTTGAGATCATGAGTTAAACGAACAAAAGTCTATCATCCAAGCACCTCATTACATCAGAACATCATTGATTCAGCATTAAAGAAGAAATTGGTAGTAAAAGATAACTGGAATAGGACTCGGAGCCAGAAAACAGGGGAATAACAAGTTTAAAATTACTGTTCATATAAAGCCAGTGTACATTTTTTTTTTATATTTAAATTATCATTATGTTTCAAGTGCCTGGTTTATCATTTATCAACTCTCCATGTGCCATAGATGATCCTGCAATGAGAATTGTTTTAGATTTAACTTTTTTTATTATTTTCTTGCGTACTCCAATTTAGTACTGTTCATTCAGATAAATATTAAATAAATAGCCAGGGTCATATCAGGGATGGTGAGTGCTTTCCAAGTAAGAACTTTACTTTTATGAAATCAATAATTGTAAATCAGTCTGTTGGCATAGATATGCCATGTGATGTGGGAAATGATTAGTAGAAAAAAAAATCAATAGGCCAACACTTGAATGAGGAGGAAAAAGAAATTCAGAAATCATTTCAAGGAATCCATACCTCACAAATTTGATTTTTCCTGAAAATTGGAGTGCCTCAAAAATTTAGGCTCACTTAACACTCCAATCGAGAATCATAAATTTCCCCTTGAAGTGCTTGAAATGAACAAGCAGCCTGATCTCTTAACAACGAGCAGAGCAGCTTGATGAAACTTGTTTTCCTGGGATACAAAACTAGCCATGACATCTGATGTGTAATTCCATATTAACCACAACTTCAAATGATGTTGCCCACCTTGTGCCCTACATGATTTGAATCGAAAACCAAATTCTTACCTCTGAACATCATATCATGAGGCAGCTTGTTTTTCACTTGCTTTATAGTATAGCATCTTCTGTACATAAAACATCATGTATCCTTGTGCAGCTCTGACAATGCTATCATTAACTCTAGTAATCCAAGCATCATCACACTTATACCATTGGTTACTTAATCTCAAATAAGTCACATAATGGCCAGCATCTAATCTACCTGTGTGTGTAACAACAGCAAACAACTCAAATTCCGATGATAACTCATTGGACGCATCCTGTTCATCTCCATCAAAAGGGAAGATTCTGTTTCCAAATCTATTCCTCAAAATGGAGGAAGAGAGATAAGGAGCCATGTCCAATGAGAATGGGAACTGCAGATATCGGTCAACCTTCCTTGACATCTTTCGTATTGAAGAATGTTCAAATCTTTTAATATGAAAGCACGAAACCAATGGAAGTTTTCTGATGGACATCTGCTTAAGAGACTCTTGTCTCACCCGACACTTTTGGCAGAAAAATTTCTGGTCAGAGCCCAACTTCTCAGCTCTTGTGAATCGTTCTAAGCAACCCTTTAAGGTAGATATCCCACAGTTTTGGTTTGAACCCTTGCAATCTGCCTCAACATTGCAAGAACTGTGGGATTTTGCGGATGAAGACTTCCCAGAACCTCCTTGGTTTGGTTCCAAGTCCAGGGAGATGTCCACACATGGGTCATATGTTGTTGATGTGAAACCACAAGCCATACACATGACATCAGATCGCAGAATACCAGAAAAAACTCTATGTGCAATGCAACACTCTCCACTGCCTGCACCATCAAGGAATGGGTTCATGAAAATATCCAATATAACATTATCACTTATCACATAATATTCTCATTCATTTATGAAGATTAGCATCACAAGCACCAAACACAAGCTCTTCGTTCAAACACTTTCTGACAAACAATTAGTGAGAATGACAACAAAAAAAAAAAAAAAAAGGAAAAAGAGCAACATGCTTCTTTTACAAAGGTTGCACAAGGATAACTTTGAATGGAAACCAACTATGGTCTCAAATGTTTAACTTTCAACTACAATTAAGAGATAGCAATGAATCGATGCAAATTTATTTCAGCCAATATAAAGCTCAATAACAACTTACGGTTAGCGTTTCTTACTTCTGTTTCTAATATTTAACTTGAGTTTCCAGGCAGAAGATCAAATTTCAACACATGAAAACAAGAAGCTTCATATCATAATGGATCTCATGGAATAATCTACATTTAAGTCTTTACTAACACAACCATAAAATAGCAAGACTGAAAAGGAGAAAGAGTACATGGTAGAGAAAAGATGGTTTAAGTTGGGACAACCTTGAACCTCAAACTTCATCAAGTTCAAAAGAATCCAGATTTCTTTGCCCAACCAAGGTGTTTGAAGAAAGTATATGCAGAAACACGATGACCCAAAACACAAAAATGGCTTTGATGCAGGTTGTAAAACTAATGCAACTCTCTCCTTTTTTGAGACCAGGATCAACTTTATCAGAGGATAGGATCCTATACATGGCAAAGGGGAAGTAACATGAGAATTAAGTAAGGTGAGAAAATCCTATGATGAAACCAACTAGGCTAAGGAAGGTTGACTTACTGGAGTACAGTAGTGGACATCATCAAGCCTGCAGTCCTAAATCTGAAAGCACTTGTCAACTCCTAGGGCAAGAAAGAAGAGACCTAAATTCATGCCCTGCAGTTAAATATCAGGGTTACTTCTTAATCTTTGGCAAAATCTTCGATGATGTTGATTGAAAAAATAAATACTAAAAACAGTAAAGCAATGGACAGACTGACAGCAGCTGCTCATTAAGAGTTAACTTATGTTGATAATATGGCTGCATTAGTGTAGCAGTAAGTTTTGCCCTACATGATTTGTGCATTTCAACTAGCAAGTTTGGCACTATGTGATTTCTACATTTCAACTAACTCTTGCTAAACAACCAAAATTCACATCTGCCTCTTGGTAAATTTGGCCACTTAAACTCTATGGCAGCAGACTACCCCATCCTATGCACAAACTTACTAAAGATTCCTAATGAAATTTAACAATCCTAATAAATCCCTTTGCTTTCCGAGCTGACTAATGCAGACAAACTATTCTTTCTGGAATGTTGACCTAAAATCAACAACTCAGCTAAGTTTTACTGTAGCCATTAGGAATTAGAGACACATGGATCCTAAGGCATGTCAGCAGGAATGGCATTACTACATGATCAAAGTCAGAATTAAGACAAATACCTTGGTAACTTTAACATACTACAAAACATTCACATTATTTGATCAATGCAAAACATACAACATCCTTCCCCAAAAAACACCTTTTGAAGAAACTGACAAACATGTGACTAACACATAAACTACCAGTAACACAATAAATGTAGCAATAGTTATAATGAATTTCAGAAGATGTGGGTCCAGAATCAAACAACTTAGATTTAGGAGATTTTTCAAACTACGGACTACCTTATAAATAAATATTTCACCAATGGAAACTCCTAGTATGAACATTCAGATCACTATGCAATTTCGGCTAGAAATGCAACTTAAAGTGACTATGACAACCTCGGAACGATAAGAAAGCTAGTCACCTGGACTCCGTGACTTCGTTTTATCCTTCTCCACCTTTTCATGAATTCCATCAAGCACGGAAATGAAAAATTCATGGGCATCCTGCTGCTCATAACTAGCCAAATTTGCCGCATGTTGCCACCAACTGCAAAATCCTCACATCCCATAAATCCCATTTTTTTACCTCAAATTGAAAACTAACAACATACACAATATCAATACAGTAAAGGAAAAAACCCAAAAAAAAAAAAAAAAGACTTTTTCTTACTCTTCCTATTCACTCAAAATTTTAAAAAAAAGAAAAAAAAACAAAATCATATTTTGACCAAAAACTAACCTGTACAAGAACTTAGCTGGACTATAAGGAGTCCGATCCCCCGAAAACACAGCCGAAAACATCGCGTCCATGTCACAAGCCAAACACAATATTGAATTTTTAGTACCATTAAAAGCACCATTTTTTTGCTGACAATAATATCTATTATGACGATCGCTTAAGAAATAATTTCGCAACGGCGGCGTATGGAGCAATGCTTGTAAAACTGAACTCATAAAGCAAGTATTCCCCAAATTATTCAATCCGCGTAATCCCCGAGGTAATTCTGTTGACGAAATCAATGAGGCATTGGTCGCGTCGTGGAGAAGGATCGAATGGTTTCCGATGATGACATGTTCTCTTGAATCAGGAGCCCAGGGACGGTAATCTACACGACGGCGCTTCCGGAGATTCTCCGGTTGAGATCCGGCAACGTTGCATTGCATTGCGGTGGCTCCGGACGTGGAGGTGGTTGCGGTGGCGATGGCGTTGATGCTTTGAGCGAGAACGATAGCGGAGTCGAAGTCGCGATCGTAGACCTGATCACGGCACACGCAGCAAAATAGCTCAGCACGGTCGACGTCGACGGCGATCTCATGACCGGGGTTGGAAAGCGCGTGAGTCGACGCGTGGGAGTGAAGTGGAGGCGAGTGGCACAACACGGCCGCGCAGGCGACACACGCATAGAGCCTCGGACGGGAGGATTCCTCGCACGTTCCACATCCAGGAACCTCGGAGGGTTCCCTCCGTATGGCGGCGCGACCGCCGGGCGGCTTGACGCGGATGCAGTCCTGGAGCGCGCGAAACGGCTTGGAGCCGTTGCGAGAGCGGAAGTCGAGGAGGTGGGGACACTGCTGAGGCGAAACATTGCCGTTGATCTTGGAAGACATGGTGGTGGCGGGAGATGATGGTGGTGTTGGAAATGGAAACCCTAGATATGAAGTACATAAGGGTCATGGATCAGGGAAAGATCAACGGCTGAGATTGGTTCAATGGGAGTGAAGGAGCATGAAGGTTGATGAGGATGAAAGTGTTGAGGCGATTCGGGGGTTTCTTTTTATTTCTTTTTAAACTTTAGGGGTACGTGTTTCCAAAGTGGGGGGACGGCAAAAAGAAAAGTGTGGTTTTTTATGGATGAAATGTGGTGTTTTCTAGACCGGTAGATTAGATGGCTAATGTGTGGAAAGATCAATGACTTGGCCCACCAATCTTGATTTGGTGGAGATTGGATGGTTGAGATTTCTTCTGTTTGTTTTGGTAATGAGAAAGGTCCAAGCTATTGCATCTGGAAGGGCTGTGAATGCTTGAAGTTAGAAAAGCAAACAGTAAACGAAGTTGATCCTCTTTTTTATTTATTTATTTTTTATCTAGGGATTTATGCCATGTTTCATGGTGCAGACGCTTCTGGTTAAAGTTATACTGACATGGCTACATGACTGCTAGTCTTTCACTTAGGTAAAATTTTTATGATCGAACAAGATGCCAAGTTTTTTCCATGTCATTGACTAAATTTATTATGATTGATAGATCAAAATTCGGATGAAAACGAGTATAGTAAACTCCGTATAATTTGGTGACGGATGAAAAGAATGGTCCATCAGTCATTGCTGCTAAAATTTAGTTATTGAACCGTCTTCAAATCAGAAAGGTTTCATGGCTCCAATAATTTCACCAGGAAACCCACATGTTTTTAGGATTTACTTGTTTTTGCAAATTTGTTAGACTGCATTGATTCTTCCTTTCTTCTTGCCCCAGGATGAACCTCTACAGCTCTACTGTTGAAATCCACTTTTGTCTCCAAGGACAGAGTGGACAACGATTTTAACAGAAACTGCAAAGTACACACCCTTGCCAGCCAGTGATCACCCCACTGGTTGATACAATTTGGTTTAATGATGGCTAATAGCTTGTCTCAGTTTAGATATTTAAGCAGAGCACAACCAAGATAAACCTCAAAAAATACAGCTCGACAGCTTCTTTGCTCTTGCAAAATTGCGATAGCAGCAGCATAAAAGATAAAGCAGCTCCAAGACCTGTTAAAATTTTCAAATAGGATCTCATACAGTGCTACGATATGTAATATGGCAGAATGACTGTTTACACTAATTTTAATGCATAGCAAAAGCCAGAAGCAAAGAATTCATTCCTAAACAACGTATACTTGAAAAGGAGGAAATGCATATGTGGTTATGCAGATGATAATGGTTCTAGACGATCTGACGTCTAAGGGTGTGTCTTGATGTGCCAGAGGAAGTACTTAGATGAATCTTCAGCTCCCATGCATAAGCAGACAACTCAGATGTTAAACTCATAACCAAGTTTAATACCAGAAAGCTGACCAAGAAGCCAAGGCAATCCTTTTTTCTGCTTCCTTTGTCTCATGAAGCAATCAAGACAACAAAAATACTAATTTACATCAAATGAATCTGACCAAATTACAAGTTAATTATGTAACAGACGTTCAAAACATATCATCTTATCACATCGAAATTCAGCAAGCTTTTACATGTTATTTTTGATTGGACATATAACATTGATTTTTTCATGGAACAATGATGTTCATGAATTTCTTTTTTGCAAATGCTAACCACCATTTATTTGGAGTTCCATTGGGCCTATAGGCAACACTCAACAGTCTCCCACTCGTTTCTTCTCTTATTTGCTTCAGATAATTCCTGAGCAGTTCTAGATTTAAGAAATCGGCAAATATATGTAGAACTAGCAAGTTATCAAAACTTCAGTACTGCAAGCGGTTAATAACATCATAATAGAAGAAGAGCTTTCATGTAGCAGACAGAAATGAAAAGTTTACAAAATATTCCAAGCATTACAAACTTCCTATAATACATTATTTATTGATCAAAGCAATATTTGAAAACAAACAGAATTACATCTTCATGTTCACCAAAACTGAAGCTTTTTAAACAACTTGATACTATTATTGGCAAGGAAGGTCTTTAAACAACTTGATCCCCTCAAGTTAAATAAGCATAAATTCAAGAATGACATCAAATGTTAATACTGCAACTGTAAAGTAGGAAGTAACTTTTATTTTCATAATAATTCGCAATTGTTTAAGCAAAAACAATTGGAGTTGTCAGATAAGTAAAGACAGACAAAAAAAGATCAAGAATAGAGAAAAGCAGCTTACTGATTAATAGCATTCAGTAATGATACTTGGAACATGTTTCACAAATATCCAGAAGTTCAATAATCTAAGTGACATTTAATGCATACCAAATGACATTTACTGATTTACCTGCTTCCTTTTGAGACTGTGGAAGCGCAAAGAGCCCTGGGAAAGGAAAACCAGATTCTCCGGGTACAGGAACCTTTTGCAGTCCCAACTTAATGACTGCCTTGGTCCCTTCAGCCAAGGTTCTACAGCCCTCAAGCCTCTTCAGAGCCACATTTATGTAGAAAGTCAAATATAAAAGGAGCTTATCTGCAGGGCTCTTAATATCAAAGTTTCTAAAGAACACATTGGCACCACGAAAGAACGTAATCGCTTCATCAACAATATCAGTTCTATCTGCATACAACCATCTTGAATTATCAACTCAAAAAATAAGAAAATGACTTAATTTCAAGAACAACTACCTAATGAAGCTGATAAAACACAAATCCAACCTTGATCTGAAACCGGAGCAGGACCCTTTAAATGACTTTTCAAAGGAAGTAAAGGGCAGCCACAAGCTTTAGTAATTCCTTCCTCATTAACAAAACTAGAGTGATAAACCTGCCATTTAACAACTATTTCTAAGTGAATATGAACCAAAAGTATTATAATTAAAACTATTATGAATTTACATATAGCAACCTAGCAGAGCAAGGGAGAGGTAAGGAAAGAGATTGATTCACATACCATTTTCTTTGAATTCCCTTACCAAACAAACAAAATCAAGCTTCCCAAGGAGGAAACCAAATGTTTCTGCAGAGAACAACAGTACAACACCAAATTACAATCAATGGAATCAAGCAAGACCTGAAATCTTAACAACAAAATACAAACCTATCAAATTAAGAAGTCAAGAAATGCAAATTTAAGGCAAACCCATTATAGTAATGGGAAATTCGTTTCATTCTGTATAAGGCATAAACAGACATTAGCATATAGAGATCTCAAGGGTAAAAAGAGAGGAAGAAATATTTTTTTTAATGAAAGACTGACTGCGGTATTCACACCTTATCATTTTTTTTTTATAATAAAACAGAGCCTTCATTTTATTTTATATTAAAATTTTTATATTTTCAAATTAGGATTTAATAAGTTTAAAAATAATTTTTATATATATTTTATTTTTTAATATTTTATATAATGTAATTTTATTTTTATTTTATTAAAAATTTAATAAATCAGTTTATTTTTTAATTCAATTTTTATATAATTTATATTATACAAATTAGTTTATTTATCAATAAATATATTTAATAATTTAATAATTTATAAAATAAATAAAATATTAGTCATATTTTACAATTTTTTATTTTTAAATAATATTAAATTTATTAATTTATATAATTATTAAAATGTGCATAATTATTTTTTTATAATATTAAATAAAATAATTTTTAATTTTTAATAATATCACACACGATAATTTTTCATTTATAAAAATTAATAATTATTAATTAAGTAAAATAATTTCAAATAAAAAATTATGAGATGACTTCCGATCACTTCAATTATTACATTATCATTGTAATCTTCAGAAGAAACCAAACTTAGAGCCTTTGGCAATTGTATCAAGTTGTTTTTTCTTAGTTAGGCTATTTATCCACGTGGTCCACGCTACGACATGGTCAAAACCCGTACGTGCAGCCACAGGCCACAAGAACCCTTACTATCACATTTCACAAATGTTATATTTTCCTTATATTCTAAAACAACCTCTTTAACTTTATTTCTCTTCTAATCCTATCCCCCAATTTCCATTTTTTTATTTTCCATCACAGTCATCCCCTTCTTTACTTCGATAACTCGCTCTTCTTTTTTCTAATATCTCAACCCCCCCCCCCAAATTTTAGGTTTTTTTTTCCTCCTCCATCTCCGAACCCAACACTTGCTCTATCTGGTAAATTCCCTTCTACTCTCTCTGTAAAATTATTATTCATTTTTCTCTTTTTAATGGTTTTTTTTTTTATTTTTGTTTGCATGCATTAATTAGGTTAACTTATTTTAATTCTTTTGCATGCACTGGGAATTCTTGAACCTGAGTCCAAAATGCAATTTAGTTTCTTGTTTAGGTTGGTGGGTAATGGTTCTTGCTTTTGATGGGTTTTTGCTGATTGGATGATCATGACCGTTGGCTTAGTCGGCTTTGTTTAAATTTGTTTTTTTTTTTTTAACTGACTAGCAATGGAGGATATTGACCCATTTGGTTTTTGGCAGCTTTTTCATCTTGAAGTAAGCTTGAATTGACAACCCATTTAGCTGTTTTATTTGTTAACTTTTAGTAATAAACCTTTTCTGTTCCAATGATAAATCATTAAGTAGGTCCCCCTGGTTTGATGGTTTAAGACAATGTCATGCTCTGTTGTTGAGGATTCAGTAGTGTGAATAATGACTATTTCAGTGCCTTGGAGGAATGCCGTGATCATCAATCAATTAAAATTGTGTGCCTTCCACTTTAATTAACTTGAGAAAGACTGAGCAATTTTGGACTCTTGATTGTAGCTAAATTGCCAACTCTTGTGCATCTGTTGTATGATAGGGGGACCTGAAAATTTCTATTTATACTTGTAATGTCTAGGTGGACATCTCCCAAATCGCCACTTGGCTTCACTCACAGCAGTAATGTAATGATGGTTGTGTGGGGCCTCTATGATTTGTAATGGTTTTAATTCTTGGCTTGGTCAAACAAGTTTTACTGTTAAAACATGTAATTTATCTTTTGAGTTTATGTAAAATATTTGCAAATTTGTTGTTCATTTAGTTCTCAGTAGCGATTTGGAATGGTGAGGGGGAAGCTGATCTTGATTTGCCAGTCTGGTGGTGAATTTGTGACAAAAGATGATGGATCCTTGTCATATGCTGGAGGAGAGGCACATGCCTTAGATATCAGTCCTGAGACAGTATTCGATGATCTCAAGTACAAATTAGCTGAAACATGTAACTTGGAATATAAATCGTTATCCTTAAAGTATTTTCTTCCCAGAAATAGGAGAACTCTAATTACTTTGTCTAATGACAAAGACCTAAAAAGGATGTTTGATTTTCATGGGGACTCAGTGACTGCAGATGTTTTTCTTACAGGGAGAGAAGGCTTTGATCCTTTAGCTTTTGACATGCATGCTAGCAGGTAATATCTCTCTACCTGCAATTATTAGTATCTTCTAGAATTTTTTGTTGTTGTTGTTGTTGTTGCTACTTTTTGTCACATTACAATATAGGGAATTGCATTGTCATTGCATCAGCAAGCAAAATGAGAATGTGCTGATAAAGTCCATGTTCTCTGTTGAGTTTGAGTGTGCCTTAGTGTTGTTTTGCAAAGTGGTTAATTGTGGAAGTTGCAAAATCTGAAGTTGCATTAAGATCAATCATCACTTGCAGGCAAAGTGGCATAAAACTAGCCAAAACTGTGACTACAACTGTGGCTTCTCGAGCTGCTCCCACTTGTCCTGCCACTTCCAAAGTTGCTCCCTCTGCTGTTACCCTGAAGGATATTCCTGTTGCCATAGCATCCCCGTCTGACTCTGTGGTAGCTGTCAATGCAACAATCCGAAGCCCCACCAGAGCAGCAATTACCTCAAAACGTTCTTCTGTAAGTGGCATTGCCAATGGTCTTTTTGAGGTCAGCGTTGCTGATGCAACTGCCCGTAGCACAGATACAATTGATATGAGTGCTTCTCCTGCTGATACTGTTAAGAAACGAAGGCGCACTGCCTCCTGGAAAAGTGGTGCAAATGTGCTTACCAATGTGACTGTTGCTGACAATCTCAAGGAGATGCGAACTACTACATCCAGGAAAAAGAATGCCAGGAATCGCAAGCCCACTGCAGTAGCTGATAATGTGGAGCAGCATTTTGAGCCCGGGATAGATAATGCTGATTGTAACTTTGCTCCCCATGATTCTAGTGATGCTTCACCAGGGAAACTGCTTTCATCATGGAAAAATGGCATTACTGGTGAAGGCCAGGATTTCAGAAGTGTGGCGGAATTTCGTGATGCTCTACAGAAATATGCCATTGGACATCGCTTTGCATATAAATTAAGAAAGAATGATACTAATCGTGCTAGTGCCATATGTGCAGCGGAAGGCTGTCCTTGGAGAATTCATGCATCTTGGGTTCCATCTGCTTGTGTGTTTAGGATTAAAAAATTGCACAGATCACATACATGTGGTGGGGAATCTTGGAAGACTGCTACTCCGGCTAAAAATTGGTTGGTGAATATTATAAAGGATAGGTTAAAGGATGGCCCACTTCATAAACCAAAAGAAATTGCTAATAGCATTCTTCGTGATTTTGGGCTTGAGCTGAACTATTCACAAGTATGGCGCGGAATTGAAGATGCTCGGCAGCAACTTCAGGGTTCATACAAAGAGGCGTATGGTCAGTTGCCTTGGTATTGTGATAAGGTAAAAGAGGCAAATCCTGGTAGTTTTACAAAGCTTCTCATTGGAGATGATAGAAAATTTCAGCGGCTTTTTCTTTCCTTTCATGCTACAGTTTGTGGTTTCCAAAGTGGTTGTCGTCCACTTCTTTTCCTTGAGGCCATCCCTTTGAAATCAAAATACCATGAAATTTTGCTCACAGCCACTGCACTAGATGGTGATGATGGGATTTTCCCTGTTGCATTTGCTATAGTAGATATCGAGAATGATGACAGTTGGCATTGGTTTTTGGAGCAGTTGAGATCTGCAGTGTCAATTTCTCACTCTATAACCTTTGTCTCTGATAGAGATAAGGGATTGATGAAGCATGTGCTAGAAATATTTGAGAATTCTTACCATGGTTACTCGATATACTACTTGATGGACAGCTTCATACAAAATTTGAAGGGTCCATTCCATGGAGAAGGGAGGGCTTCATTGCCTGGAAGTTTCTTAGCTGCAGCCAAAGCAGTGCGACTTGATGGTTTTAGGATGTACACTGAGCAAATTAAACGGGTTTCTTCAAATGCTTATGATTGGGTCATGCAGAATGAACCCGAATACTGGGCAAATGCATTTTTCAAGGGTGAGCATTTTAATCACATAACACTTGACATTGCGGAGTCATATGCCAAGTGGATAGAGGAAGCACGAGAACTACCCATTGTACCGAAGGTAGAAGTACTAAGATGTAAGATAATGGAGTTAATGAATGGTCGTCAAACAGAATCCAGTAACTGGTCCACAGAACTTACTCCATCTAAGCAGGAGAAGTTGCAAGAAGAGTGTGCAAAAGCACGTGGTCTAAAAGTATTATTCTCATCTGATACCCTATTTGAAGTTCATGATAATTCCATTAATGTTGTGGATATTGATAAACGATACTGCAGTTGTGCAATGTGGAAACCAACTGGGCTTCCTTGCCGTCATGCTATTGCTGTCTTGAACTGCACAAGCAGGAGTGTATATGATTATTGTTCAAAATACTTTACAGCTGAAAGCTTCCGATCAGCATACTCTGAGAGCATAAACCCTGCTTCGACCATTGCTCACCCCAGTGGAAATGAAAAAGATCCCTTAGAAGATGATGAGCATATAATTCCTCCATGTGCCTCACGGCCATTAGGCCAACAGAAGAAAATAAGGCGAACCAAAAGCGAGGGAATTATCAGAAGATCAGTCTGTTGCACTAGGTGCAAAGGAGTTGGGCATAATAAGGTTACATGCAAGGAAACCTTATAGGAACAGGTACCTCCTCTTGTATGTATCACGCTGTACAGCTTTAATGATATCTTCAAATTATTTCTACTTCCTTTGAATATCATCTCGATGAGCTCTGCGCTTGCATTCCATGACTGACCGTTTCTTGTTATTCAATTTAGTTAAGACTTTGTTCCAATCTTCTCATTGTTGCTAAAACCCATTTTGAAGAGCGCTTAGCCATACTTCTTAAATGCCTCAGACATCTAGTTGCTAATGCTGGGTTAGATCAAGTTCAAGCTAAAATGCCTCCAACCAACGGTTATTAGACTATTTGCTCGAGTTGAAGTCAAACATTTTTTAAAAAAATTCCCCCTAGGGGATGATGGAAACCACCTTTTACTCAGTTCATGTCAGCCCTCAAACAATTATAATGCTAGGAAACTGGAAATTGTTGTAACCTTTTACTGTCATCTATCCTCCGTCTGCTCCGTATGGCAACGAACTCCATTTTGACAGACATTGCCATGGTTTTATTATAGCACTTAAATGGATTGGATCTGCTACTAATCCATTCATTCATTAATGCCACTTTGCTGCAGCTGCACTCCCGTAATCCTCCACTCTAGCGTGAGCCAAAACCAAAACAGTCCTTGAGATAGTATTCATTTTTGGAGATTCAATAAGTGGTAAAGGCTGAAAGCCATTTTTAAAACCAGAAACTGCCATGACACCTCTTCATTACCGAATACCAATTCTCTAGGCAAGACTATTCTACTTTCTAACAATCAATCTGCATCGTACGTCATGCATTCGTACCCTTTTATCACATAGGGGAATGCATCTAATTATCTAACCGAAACAAGCTGTTCGTTGGGCCTCTTAATCTCAATCTGTACTTTGCTTTGATAAATCGGTTTCGTTGTTTCAAAAGTAGAAGACACGTGAAATTAGTAACATTCTAAAAAAGGAAAATAGATAATTTTGGTTTTAAATTAAAAAAAAAAAAAACATTGGAACAGAATCTGACAAAAAAAACAATTTAGCCAAAATAAAATGGAAAATAAAAAGACGAATTCCATAGTATGAGAGCAAACAACACCTTAACATGCATTTGATTTGGCACTTTCAATTTATTCTCTCTTTCTTATTGTGCCTTCGAAACGGAGGTCCTGAGAATTTTTCGAGGAAAATGCCAAGGGGATACTTGCAAAAGAAGTGGATAGAGGCCGTCATTTTTCAAAGACAAAATTGAGATGAAATTTGTGATTTTTTTTTAAATAGTTTAATAAGAATTTTAATAAAAACTATAAATCAATAAATTGATAGAGTTGATATAAAAATTAATAATATGTAAAAAAAATATTTAAAATATTATTATAATTTAAATTTGTTTAATATGTATTTAATGAAAAAAAATTTATTAAAATTTTTACTAAAAATACTTATTTAAAAAATATGTCTAAATTTATTATTATTTTTTAAAAATTTATGTACTTGATCTATATAACAATATTTTTTAATGTATCAATTTTAATTTAATTTAATTATTTTTAATATAAAAATACTTCATTTAAAAAATTTTATCTGTCTTCTTCAATTTTTTAACTCAATCGCTTTTAGTTGGAGGCCTACAGTGTGGCCCAAAAGCAACTTCCTCTACTTCCATGCAAATGGAGTTTCTCTACAGCTGCATCATTCAACTCCTTATCTCAACTTTCCTAATTAAGAAGTGTTAAAGCTTGTAACAGGCACTCTTCCATGCTTATGAGTTTAGGCCTAATCTAAATTTCAATGCTTCTCTCTTTCATTGCAAGTATATGATTCAAGTTAAAGTTGTTTAATAGAAACAGAAGGTATACCCCCCCCCCCTTATAATTAACTCCAAGATTAACCCTCAATATTTTCATATTTTAAAAACCTTAATATTCTTATTACATTGTCCACAACTTTAATTATTTTTTATAATATAGTTAGGAGTATCTTCAATTTATAACTAATTTTGTCTCCAAACAATTTTAAAAATACATTTTCCTTCATTTGAATGATACATTTAACATTTTATTCTTAAATATTTTTACAAATATTAATTCTTGATTGATAAAAAAAAATTAATTCTTCTCTTTACCAACTCAATTAATCTTTATAACCACTAAATAGTAAGAACTATTGGTTTGAGTCTTAAATACCCATATTCCTGAAAGGATACATGTAATGATCTCATGCGGTAATTTAGAGGGGGAGTAATTTCAATGGTCGAAATGTTAAATCTCTACCATTAAGCTGACAATTCAGTGATATTGAAGTTAATTGTAAATTTTTAAAATTTTCGAATTTAAATTCTAATTATAATTTTATTCTATAACCTAAGACTCAATATTTTCAAAGTTTATTTACAGTATTCATACATAAATATTTGAATCAACAGAATAATCCAACTGTCAAATTTTGAACTTTCATGTAGATAAGAAAGAAGTATTTCAAAAGAGAAAAAGAATATTTGAAAGCTCCACATCAACGACATTGAAAAGAAACGTTCTTTTTCTTTTCCAGCCACAGAAAAAAGAAAGAGAAGTTGTAACTGCTTCGAAACCAAAACATCGAGTATATTGTACTTTTACTGAAGACGCACGTCGCATGAGAGTGGACAGTGGGCCTAATTGTTTTTGCATTAAAACCGAATGTAGCTTTTAATGATTCGCATATATACGAAAACAAAGCTAGCTTCCACCTAAAGTGTCACCGAAGGAAGAGAAAAGTGAACTGGACAAGGCCTGGCCATCTGTCGACAAAGCTTTAATAGTGCCAAATGAGAGTAGAGAGAGGGTTCGTGTCCATCTCATTCTCCTGATTCATGTCGGGGCTGTGGCGGAACCAGACAATTTACTAGACCCACCAGCACCTGTTTAATGATTTTACTTTGGGAAAAGAAAAAATTTTATGGGCAATTATTTTATTAAATTTATATAAAATTTTTAATAAAACTTTTAATTATATTAATTTTGTATTTTTTTATATAATATCATTTTAAAATTAACATGCCAATATAACGTGCAAATATTCGGAAATAGAGCCAAAAAGAAACACTTAATCTTAAACAGTGATATGAGACAGTAGACAAGCACCTAGGCCTAGCCAAGGATCACAACAACAAAAGGTCAGATCTGAAAATGGGGTTTGAGGAAGGGATTGGGCACAGAGACATGGGGCTGGGCTACTGGCTAGAGCCGAATGGTCCCACAGTGACCAGCCATGACAACCCAGTCCCAACCTTTAACTCTGCTAACCAAAGATGCCCTTTTTTGTTTTTCCCATTTTTAATTCAATTGTCATGCATTTAATTATTGGTAATGAGTAATGTCCAATTGGCACCCGACGGTTGCCATGTCTCTTGCGCTATATAGATGGCTCGACAAAATATCTACATGGATAGTAAGAACAAATCCATATTAGATTAGTTGGAACTTAAATTATATCAAAGACATGGAAAGTTAAATTTAATCAACAAGACCAAGTGGCAATTTTATATATTCAACTTTATGTCAATGTTTGTATCATGATCCATAAATTACGAGTATTGTTTTAAGTTTAATTTGTTGTAAAACACATTGGGTCAAAAAGCAATACTTTTTTTTTTATCTCAAGTAATTTATATATAGACCAAAAATATGCCTTATAAATAAATAAAGAACATATACTACTATTCCTTACATAGATATTTTAAGGGGAAAAATTTTTAATTTGAAGTTAAGAAGATAAATTATTAAATACACTGAAAATAAAATTTTTTAATTTCATAAGTAATATTAAGATAATGATGTGTTTTTTAGTGTATATATAAAAAAATTAATTTAAAAATTCATAACTAATATTAAGATAATGATTTATTTTTTTAGGGTATATATAAAAAATTAATTTTAAAAAATAAAACATGTGTCACTATATTAGCTTCATTTGTAAAGCTAAAAAGTTTATTGTCAATATATTAAATAATTTTTTTTTTAAAAAAGATGACATTCGATAATCTTTTAATTTTATTTTTAGAGTAAAAAATTATATTAAAAATGTATTATATTATAAATATAAAATAATAAATTTATATTTGACATATCATTGTATATATTTTATATACTGTTAATGAATAAGATAATATTAAATTATTAATTAATAAATAAAATACTTAAAATAAATATATAAAAAATTAATATTTTTTAAAATATTTATTCAGTAATAAAGTAATATCATAAATTCACTAACAATATATAAAATTTATATACTGATAATTTATCAAATGTAAACGCTAAAATAATACTAAACAAAATAAAATAAAAAATCATTTATGTTTGGAAGAATTGTGAAGGTCATGTATCCTAGCAGTTGTGGAGTTATTATGATAAGTGTTTGTCACTAATTTAGCATTTTTTTCTTAAAAGATTCTGACTTGGGAATCATATTCTTTATTAATTTGAGGTTACTTTTTTAAGATCATTGAGATTGAAAGGGATGAATTATTGTAAATGGACTCATACAATTGAAGCAATCACATGTCCAGAAAAAAAAAAGGATAATTTAAGCTTATTTACCTACTTCAAAGTTGTGAATTGGTTTTAATTTTTCTTCATTAAAATATATTTGTACATGAGATAAAAATATTAATTTTTAATGGTACTGATATTTTACCTTCTAAAATCAAAGTTTCAACCATCATCTTATAAATTAAAATTTTTTTGATACACATAAACTCCATCTACTATATCATTTATGGTAAATTGGGAACCAAATTTGCTTCAAATTGACATTCTCAAGCACAAAAACCTAAAAGTTAAATCCTTTTTTTTTAAATATTTTCATTAAGAATACAGGATTGATTGTGAGTAATATAGGATCCTCTATTCATAATGAAAATATTTTTAAAAATTGTTAATTAAATAATTGGGCTTCATATCACTTTTTTATTTTATAACTTAATTTTAATAAAATCTTATCGTTATTTTTTTCATATTTCCTACAAATAAAACTCAAGACACTATTTTTTGTTAGTGTAAAAAATTAATTGAGAGATTAATTTTTTACATAAAAAATACATATATTTATCATTAAATACGTTTGAGAGACAATTTATTGGTTTTAAAAGCATGATTTAAAAATTAAAAAAAAAAAGAAAGAAAGAAAAATAAAGCATGGTTTCAAGTTTTAACCCAAGAACGGCGTCAAAAAAGAAGCAGGGAACATTGGTGCGAATGAAGTTCAAATTCTAAGGCCTAGCATAGCATTATAAGATTTTGCGTTTGAAAGTCTTTTAATTTAAACGTAATGTTAAATAATAAAAAATTTGAATTTTTTAATATAAATTACAATTTTTTTCAAAAGATGTTTTTACCAAAAATATATATATATGTTTAAAATAACAAATTGTTTTGTTATTTAAGTATTTTTAATATTTTAATATTTTATATATTTTTTAAAACATTTTAATTATTCCTAATTTTTCATAACAATATCAAATACATAAATTTGTAATTATATTTTTCTAATCACATTTTTAAATACATTTTTTCAACACTAACAATAATCTAAACTAATCCTATAAGTGGGTCCATTCTGTTGGCTTTTGGTGAACAGTCCTGATCTACTCCCTCTTTAATTGTCTGGTTGGCGTAACTTATTTTACATTTGACATCATGCAATCCAAACCCAAATAAACAAAAGAAAAAACAAAGTGAAATTCCATCCAACAAATTTATCCTTATCTTTTTCATGTTTTAAGTTTTTTTTTTTTTCTTAGTAAAATGGTGAAGGATATTTTAAAATTTTGTTTGAGTTTAATTCTTTTGCAATTAATTTTTAAAATATTTTTTTTATTAATATGATATATTTAAAATTTTATTTTTAAAATGGTTCTTAATAAAAAAGAAGAACTTCACTCTTAACGACAACCAGATAAACCTTGTGGGTTTTAAGTTTAAACCAAAACCAAAAGATGACCTAATAAAAACGAAAAGGAAAAGTTTTTTTTTTTTTTTTTTAAGGAAACGCCAATTCAGGCGCTTAATGCGTCTAAAATACGCCCTTCCAGGATTTGTTCGAATAAATGCCACGTCCCAAAAGAAAAGGAAAGTGAATTGCGTTCAAACGGGCAATATCTTTCCATAGACGATGTCGTTTTCATTGCCTTGTAGTTGTATTATTGAAGTCAGAAATTTCGTTGCCGTGGGAAAAGTTCATGCCAATAACAAATATCTATTTGTTTGTATTTGGTCCATAATTATTGTAATTTTGACAATTAATTTATTATTACTTTTAAACTAAATTACTGTTTTCCCCTCAATCAAATATAACTAATATTCTAATTATTATCATACTAGTACTATATTTTTTCTGTAATATTCTTTGTTAATTAAGATATACTATTATATATATATGTGTTAACAATCGTTTAATTTATTAATAAAATATTAAATTTTCAAATTTCAAATATATATTGCTGTGAAAGAGAACATTGATGTGATAGTCATTGTTTCACACATTATCTTAATCAATGGCAAAGAAAATTTATCAATTCTTATGTTTGGTACTTTTTTTTTTTTTTTCAAATTTTCACACATGCATATTATACATTGACTATAAGTTTAGTCAAGGTTGAATCATGTAATTTTTTTTTTTTTTTAATTTGGGAAAGAGAAGATTGGAATCCATCTCTTTTAGCAAATAGTTCCTTAACCAACCATTATGCCAAAACTTAAGGTCACCTAATTATTATAATATATTGCTATGGTTTAAAATTTTTAAATCTCCAAATACTATTTTATCGCTTTTTTATTTTGAAAAGCATATATTTAAATTATATAACATTATTTTTTGAGTATAAAGTATATGCATAAATTATCGAATTAACGAGTCAAAATTCAATTCTATAAATAATAGATACATTCACGTATAATTAAATCAAAAAAATTAAATCTTGAATTTATTTCATTTATTTTTATATTTGAATAATCTTATCCTCAAAACTTGTCATGTTCTTTAACCATAACATATACACATATTATTAATAATCATTTTATCCTTAAAATCTATCATATTATTTTGATCATATCTTTGCAAACTTGATTGCCTTTTTCAATTAACACATACATTTCTTTTTGCAAAGTTAATAATTTTAGGTTAACGTGTAAAATGGTTCCTAAATTATATCACTTTTTACAATTTAGTATTTATAGAAAAATTTAACAATTTGGTACCTTAAATTTGTTTTGTTAAACATTTAGCACTATTAACTAATGGTGTTAGGTTAAATGATAATATGACAGATATTAATTAATGAAAATATATCACATATCTTGATTTTATATATAATTTTTTGTCACATTAACATATTATTAACGGCTAAATCACATATTAACTTATTTTTTTAATCTTTTTATCTCTTTTTTTTTTATCAAGCAAATTTAAAATTTACTGATTGAGTAAAGAAAATATGCATTAAGTATTTAACCAAATATTTAGCTGTTAATTTTGTTATTTTCAAGCATGACCGTATGTTAAATATTTATTTTCAGACACCTCACAACCATTATTATCATCGTTATAACGGAATTATCTCTCTAAAAAGTTAATTCCAAGAGAATTATTGAAAAATCCTCATAGAATATTTTTTTAATGATAAAATGTCTTAGGTTTTATTTAGTAGATCATCTCTCGTATCAATTTAAACATGTTTATGTACATAGGTTTTAATAAATTTATAAAAAATTATTTTTTTTAATAATTTTGTTAACGAATTCGAATTCATAAAACATTTTGAATCAGATAATACCTATTAATTACCACAATTTACAATTTAGAATAATTGTAACAACAATAAACGATATATTTTTGAATTATTTAGTGTATTATTAAAATTGACATTTAGAGTTACGAATTTGAAATAATTTATATGTATAGTATTCTTTAACCCAAGTAAATACAAAGTAAGGAGATTTAAAGGTAAATAAAAAAAAAAAAAAAACATGCTTTTTTATTTCTCTTTAAATTTGTTAATGAATTTCATGACAAGTTAAAAAAGGAAACTCATGCATTATAATTAAAGGTGTTTATGAGTTGGGTCGGGTTGGGTTTGAGCTCAGTTTATACTTAGTATTAGTAATTTATATATTTGCCTAAATTCAATTTGATTTGAAATTTCAAGCTTCAAAATTTTTTCGAACTTGATCCAAATTGAAAAAATAAATTATAAGCTCACTCATTAAACTTAATTTATATAATAAAAAATAAAAAAATGATTAAATTAAGTTTAATGAGATTATATTTAATTCATATATATATAAAATAAAAATTATATATCAAAATTAAAAATAAAAATTATATAGTAAACTATATAATTTTTATTTTTAATTTATATATATGTAAATAATTTATATATAATTCACATATATATAAATAAAAAAATATATATGTGAATTTGGGTTGGGTTTGGATTTTAAATATTTTATTTAAGATCAAGCCCGAAATTTAAACGAGTTTAAAAATTATACCCAAACTCATTTAACAAGTTTTAATTTTTTATTTAAATCCTCTCAAAATTTGGATGAACTTTTAGGTATGAACTGATAACCCGACCCTTAAACAGACCTAATTATAATTAATTTTTATTTACCTTAAAATTTAGTTGATGAATAGTAATCATCTCATTTCTTTAAAACTATATGCATATTAATCAATTTATAAGTAGAATATTGGAGCCAAATTGTACAATTATTGCCATTTTAATTAGGGGAGTTTTAAATGCACCAACCTTTTTGCTTTATACACTTTTAAAAAAAAAAAATTTGTAAGTAAACTTATTTAAATATTCTTTTAAAAAGTTTTTGGATATTCACAAATTTTAAAAAATTATAATACTTATTGGAAATACATTTCTAAGAGTTTTAGTTTTATGAAAAATTACAAAAAAGAATTTTATTAAAACTATTTATAAATAAGTGTAATAAAAAATTATTATTAAAAATAATAAAATTTAAAATTAATAAAAACATTTATTTTTATTGTTTTGATTATAGAGGTGCACAATATCCTTGAATATGATAATTATATACTTACTGAGATTTTTTATGACATTTCAAAAAATAAGAAAAAAAAAACACCATTATCATGTTTTCGATCTTATACAAATTTGAAAATCAATAATTAGGGTGTTAAAAGAATTGAAAATAATTTACAGTTGAAGCTTTTTTTGACCAATATTATATGCTTATGAATAAAGAGGTAGTAAACTATTAAATATTATACAATTTTATCATAATATAATATACTAAATTAGAGAAATCTGTCATGATAAATAGAAAAATATATTTATTTAAAAAGTTCAGTTTAATTAAAGTTATTATAAAATTTTAATAATCGATTAAAAATTTATTAAAAAATAATAAAATTTAAATTTATAAAATAAAAATTATATTTATTATTTTATATTTAATTTAATTAAACTTTTATGAGATATTATTCTTTCTTTAATAATAATTTTTTCATTACACTTATTTATAAATAATTTTAATAAAATTTTTTTATAATTTTTCATAAAATTTTATTTTAACTTTATCGAAAATGTATTTATGAAAAGTATTATGATTTTTTGGATTTCAAGAATTGTTAAATTTATCAAAAATTTATTTTCAAAAAGTGTTATAATTTATCAAAAGTATATTTTTGAAAATTATAAAATTTGTAAAAAAAAATATTAATTATTTTATTTAAAAAATAAAAAAATTGAAATGTATAGAGAGAAACAGAAGTGGAAATAGACTTCTCCTTTTAATTAAGGCAGGCTTAAACTAAAAAAAGTTAGAACTAATTAACATTTCCAAATAAAAAATTGAACTGGTAAAACCTACTCTATATCTGACGCCAATTTATCGTGGCCGTGCCCCCAACTGAGCATATCTGACTCTTCCATTTCTTATAATTAAAAAAGGAGGGGAAGAAAATCTTTATTTGACAAAAATTTCTTTCTTTTTTTAGTTTCCACCACAAAGTTTTCGTGCATATAAACTCGCGTTTCTCTCCCATTTTCCTCTCACTGGAAAAGAATTCTCTCTCTCTCGTTCGCATTTCGTTTCTTTGGGAGGGTGCTTAATATGGGGGCTTCGATTTTGCCAGATCTCGGAGCCGAGATCCTGATCCCGGTTTGCGCCGTTATTGGAATTGCCTTTTCTCTCGTGCAATGGGTTCTCGTTTCCAAGGTGAAGCTCTCTCCAGGTCGAGACTTGGGTTCCTCCGGGAACAATGGTGCGGGTGGGAAAAACGGTTATGCGGATTACCTTATTGAAGAAGAAGAAGGTCTTAATGACCATAATGTTGTTCTTAAATGTGCTGAAATTCAAAGCGCCATCTCTGAAGGTTGTTGCTCTTTTCACTTTCTTTTTTAAAGGTTTTTAAGATCTGGGCTTTCTGAAAAATTGTTTCTTTTAGTCTTATTTTGATTTTTTTATGCTGGGTTCCCCCCCCCCCCCTTTTTTTTTTCGTTTTCATGTCTGAATTACTTAACTGAAATGGTTTTTGCAAAAACGAGTTCTTTTATTGTTCTTGTGAAAGTTTTTGGTTTTTAAGCTCTGAAAGTTTAGATCTTTTGTTTCTCATTGTGTTCTTTTTTATGTTGGTTGGCGGAGTTTTGGATTTGTCTGCATAAATTATGGTGTTGTTTTGTGAATCGTTATGGTAAAGAAGCAAAACATTTGGGGCACGAGGTTTCTATTGCTTTGTGTTTCATATGTTAAAGTGTTATTTTTTTTTTTTATTTTAAATTGTCGGATATTTATTTTTTATTTGAAAGCAATGAAAAACTACAACATGTGCAAGCTGTCTTAGTATTATATATAAGATGTGCTTCAATGAATGTTTTCTTCGAATCGAAGTGTTTGATGATGGAGGAATCTGGAGTTCGAACCGGCGTTATTTATTAATTATATCTCACCATCAACATTGATTTAGTTTTATTTTTTTCTTTTTGGGTTTTAAGTTTTTGGTTTTGTAGCACATGGAGTATGCATAATGCCATTGAAAGACTTTGGACATTTCGTCATAATTGCATACTTACTATGTGAAAATTTTTTCCTACTGATTAATCAGCAGATTTGGAATTTATGGAAAAGTGAATGTTGATGCTTTCAGGAATGGATTGCCGTTGTTTCTATATACAAGATCTTGTACCCTTTTTGTTGAATTGAACCAGATCTGAAACTCTTACTTTATATGGGTCCTGAATTAAGTTTCCAGTGGCCAGAACTTTCCAATTTGTTTACTCTGAAAGCCTTTTTTTTTTTTTTTTGGTACAAAAAATCTGGGATAGATAGGTGTGACCCCAACAAGTGGCCATCTTACTTTATATGGGTCCTGAATTAAGTTTCCAGTGGCCAGAACTTTCCAATTTGTTTACTCTGAAAGCCTTTTTTTTTTTTTTTTGGTACAAAAAATCTGGGATAGATAGGTGTGACCCCAATAAGCGGCCATTGTCAGGATTCAAACCTAAGACCTCTTCGTCAAGGAAGACGAGCCTTAACCAATTGAGCTAACCACTTGTTGGTGACTCTAAAAGCCTTACTTAACATAGAAGTTGGATGATTTAATTACTTTGTCTGAATAATTGTTTATTTTCCTTTTTTTTTTGTTTCCATAAATTTAAGTTGTATCATGCATGAATGACAGTCATAGTAAAAACTGATTTAAGCAAATAATGCACTGTTCATGATATGATATGCTTAACACTTTATTTCACTTTTGGAAAGTAAGATGCTTTTGAATCATTTCTATGCTTCCAAGGTTGTACCATGCTGAGTTATTTTTTGGTGGACCATTTTCTTGTTCGTTTCTGCTTTATGGGAGATTTAGTTATTTATACTTTTTTTTGATAAATTAATTATTATTGTTATTAAAATGCACAAAAATATTTAGATACAATACTTTTTAATTTGCTCTTAAAAAAATGTTATATTTCAAAATACAACTACTTTTCTGTAATAGAAGAATTCTTTCAATTCTTCTATCTGTTATGTCATTGTTTCTGGTATTTTGCATGGAAGAATCAAGTGAGGATGGTAATATGACACTCTAGTTTGTTCTATAGTCAATATTCATGAGAATATGCTTTTGTTATAAAGGATTACTGGTTTATATCTAGTTGCTCTGTTTATTGCCTTTTCTCTTGGTAATTTGTGGAAAAACTTTTCCAGTTAGCTAATATTTGGATTTATGATTTTACAGGGGCAACCTCATTTCTTTTCACTGAGTACCAGTATGTTGGCATTTTCATGGTTGCTTTTGCAATCTTGATTTTCCTCTTCCTTGGCTCGGTAGAGGGTTTCAGTACAAAGAGCCAGCCTTGCACGTATGATCAATCTAAGATGTGCAAGCCTGCTCTTGCCACTGCTGCATTCAGTACCATATCGTTCTTGCTCGGTGCTGTCACTTCAGTTGTTTCTGGCTTTCTTGGGATGAAAATTGCTACCTATGCAAACGCTAGAACCACCCTGGAGGCAAGAAAGGGAGTTGGAAAGGCATTTATCACTGCATTTAGATCTGGTGCTGTAATGGGCTTTCTTCTTGCTGCAAATGGCCTTTTGGTGCTTTTCATTGCCATCAATTTATTCAAGCTCTACTATGGCGACGACTGGGGTGGTCTTTTTGAGGCAATCACTGGTTATGGGCTTGGAGGTTCATCTATGGCTCTTTTTGGCCGAGTTGGTGGAGGAATCTATACCAAAGCTGCTGATGTGGGTGCTGATCTTGTGGGCAAGGTGGAAAGGAACATCCCTGAGGATGACCCTAGAAACCCAGCTGTAAGTAACATGTATCTATGAATATGTTATAGCACTTTGAATTCAGAAAACTGAGTTGTGGTTCCTTCTCTTGGGTTGTCAATGAGTTGCCTCCATGTTTTCAGGTTATTGCTGACAATGTTGGGGATAATGTTGGTGATATAGCTGGAATGGGATCTGATCTTTTTGGGTCGTATGCTGAATCATCTTGTGCTGCACTTGTTGTTGCTTCCATCTCTTCTTTTGGCATCAATCATGAGTTGACTCCAATGTTATATCCTCTCATCATCAGTTCCGTCGGTATCATTGTTTGTTTAATCACCACCTTATTTGCAACTGATTTCTTTGAGATCAAGGCTGTTAAGGAAATTGAGCCATCATTGAAGAGACAACTTATTATCTCCACCGTTCTTATGACTGTTGGAATTGGGATTGTTAGTTGGATAGCTCTTCCATCTTCTTTTACCATTTTCAATTTTGGAGAACAGAAAGCTGTGAAGAACTGGTAAGCTCCTAGTGCTTCTTTTATTGAGAAATCTCGGTAGTCATATGCTTGCATTAGAATGAGTTTGTAAGCTTGAATTCTTTCTGCAGGCAACTATTCTTATGTGTTGCGGTTGGTCTTTGGGCTGGCCTAATTATTGGTTTTGTAACTGAGTACTATACTAGCAATGCATACAGGTAAATACTAGTCTTGGTGGTGTTATTTTTTCCTTGACTCATCTTTGTTATAATTGATTTTAACACTCTCTTTACTTTCTCCTGCAGCCCTGTACAAGATGTTGCTGATTCCTGCAGGACTGGAGCTGCAACTAATGTTATTTTTGGCCTTGCATTGGGTTACAAGTCTTGCATTATTCCTATTTTTGCTATTGCAGGCAGTATTTTTGTTAGTTTTAGCTTCGCTGCTATGTATGGCATTGCTGTTGCTGCCCTTGGAATGCTGAGCACCATAGCTACTGGATTGGCCATTGATGCTTATGGTCCCATCAGTGATAATGCTGGAGGCATTGCTGAGATGGCTGGCATGAACCACAGAATTCGAGAGAGAACTGATGCTCTTGATGCTGCAGGAAATACCACTGCTGCTATTGGAAAGGTTTGATTTGTTTTCACTTAAGCACGGGGTTACTTTGCCTCTTTTTATTTGATTTATGGCATCTCTATGTCGGTTTGGCATAACAAGTTCAAATGCAGCTTTTAATGTTTTTGTTGGGACTCATTTCTTTGGTATAATATTGCATTGTTACATTGAAGCAGCTCGTTTTTTCACTTTATTAGTTGCAATATTTGCTTGATGTAGCATTAATGTGTTTGCTTGAATGAATATAATCTGCATTGTTGCATTAGTGAGTTAATAGGTATTCATTTTAACGCTCTGCATTTCTTTCCAGGGTTTTGCCATTGGTTCAGCAGCCCTGGTGTCCCTTGCCCTCTTTGGTGCTTTTGTGAGCCGTGCTGCTATTTCAACAGTTGATGTATTGACCCCTAAAGTTTTTATTGGTTTGCTTGTCGGGGCAATGCTTCCTTACTGGTTCTCTGCTATGACCATGAAGAGTGTGGGAAGTGCAGCTTTGAAGATGGTTGAGGAAGTGCGCAGGCAATTCAACACAATCCCAGGTCTCATGGAGGGCAGTGCTAAGCCTGACTATGCTACCTGTGTTAAGATCTCTACTGATGCTTCCATTAAAGAAATGATCCCACCTGGTGCCCTTGTTATGCTCACACCCCTTGTTGTTGGGATCTTTTTTGGTGTGGAAACTCTCTCTGGTGTTCTCGCTGGATCCCTTGTCTCTGGTGTCCAGGTAATGTTAACAAGTCTTAGTATTATGTATTTGGTTTGGAATTGCATGTTAAATTCTTCGGGTACTGCTTGAGATGTTTCCTAAATAAGGTTCATCTTAATGTTGTTTCTGTCTTGGTCATGTTTGCAGATTGCTATCTCTGCATCCAACACAGGGGGTGCGTGGGATAATGCCAAGAAGTATATTGAGGTATCCATGATTTGACTTCCTGTGAGCCACTCTTATGATTGATGTTTTGAAAGTAATGGTTCTATTTTTGTGCTCTGGATTTTGTTGTGGAATGCAGGCTGGTGCTTCAGAACATGCAAGAGCTCTTGGTCCCAAAGGATCAGATGCACATAAGGCAGCTGTTATTGGTGACACCATTGGGGACCCTCTTAAGGATACATCTGGGCCATCACTGAACATCCTCATCAAGCTAATGGCTGTCGAATCACTTGTCTTTGCTCCCTTCTTTGCTACACATGGTGGACTGCTTTTTAAGATATTTTAAGAGAAGACGAACATCGGCTATTCCAGTCTCTGCCGTTTCTTCTCCTCTAATTCTCCTTTTGAAGTATATTTACTTTGTGGCACATTTTGACTCTAGAGACCATATTCTCTTTAAGGTCAAATCGGCAGTGAAAATTTTCCCTTCTAAAGGGCTGACAATGACATTGATGTATGATGAATTGATGATAATGGTCAATCTAGAAAATAGTTAAAACCTCATTTTTACTATTATTTCTCTTTGTTCTGTGAAGAATATATTTGTTGCCCTTGCCCAGCTCTGCTTTCTGGCTCTGATATTCCTGTCATGAGGTTTTTTAGGCATAATTTTGGACTATAATGACAAAGCATGGATTATTGAACATCGTAGGAAAAAGGGTGCTTTCTTGATTCGTAACTATTTCGTTATTGCGAAATTCACATGAAGCTCAAGCATGGCAGAAAGTCCAGTAGAGTTGGGTTTGCACCCTTGCATTTGAGTTTTAATTAAAAATATGTTTAGCATAATTCTGTTGAAGAATTTTGAGTGTCATAATCTGCTATCTTGATGTGACTTTTATCTGAAAACCAAATCAAATGGCACCATACTTATCTCAGGGTGAATTTGTGATCCAAATCAAAGTAAAATTGCTCTTTGGACGTGCAATTGCATGACACTCCAGCCAACAGACAACAATACCATCGATTTGATTATTATCATGGGCAACGAAATGATTTTTAGCTGTGCCATCAGCCTTCAATTTAGGTGTTGAATGTTCATATGAGCAGTAGGAAGGACTAGGGTTGGCGGCGAGAGCTTTAACCTCTGCTTTTATAGGCCCATAAGCAAACTCAGCCGACCAAGTTTTCTACTTTAAAAGCAGCCTTTACCTATCATTATCACAAAATTAAATAAACGAGAAAAAGAAACAGTTCAAAAAAACTATTCTAGCCGTTTTTGAAGACCCAAGAGGCCAAGACTTCCCTCCGGCCTCTGTCGCCGCCGATTGCCATTTTTGGCTCCAAACCACAGTTCCTCTCTGCAAAACTCGCAATGGTTTCTCTTCCTTCTCTCCATCAATCTCCTTTGAAACCATCTCTTGTCCTTCTTTCCTCTTCTTCTCCTTCCTCTCCACCTTTCCTCCAATCTCTCTCTTTCCCCTCAACAACAAAACGCCTCCCTCTCCGTTCCTCCAAACCACTGCATGTCAAATGTTCCTCAACCACCCCCACATCCGAACCCGACCCACACCTTATCCGACCCGTTTGCATCCTCAAGATAGCCATCATTGGCTTTGGAAACTATGGCCAATTCCTAGCTAAAACTCTGGTCTCTCAAGGCCACAAAGTTTTAGCCCACTCGAGATCCGACTATTCCCACATAGCCAAAAAACTGGGAGTTTCCTTCTTTCTAAACCCCCACGACTTATGTGAACAACACCCAGAAGTCATCCTCTTTTGTACTTCAATTATCTCAACCGAACAAGTCTTGAAAACTCTTCCTTTGCAAAGGCTGAAACGATCCACATTGTTTGTCGATGTTTTATCCGTCAAAGAGTTCGCCAAGAATCTCCTCCTCGAAGTCTTGCCTCGTGATTTCGACATCATTTGTTCCCATCCCATGTTCGGACCACAAAGCGCTAAACAAAGCTGGAAAGACCTTTTCTTTGTCTACGAAAAGGTTAGAATCGGAAACGAATCCTCCAGGGTTCAAAGATGTGAAGACTTTCTCGGAATATTTCAATGTGAAGGGTGTAAAATGGTGGAAATGAGCTGTACGGAGCACGACAGGTTTGCTGCAGGTTCACAGTTTATGACACACACGGTTGGGAGAGTGTTAGATATGTTGGGGTTGGAGTCAACGCCGATTAATACAAAGGGTTATGAAACTTTGTTGGATTTGGTTGAGAATACTTGCGGGGATAGCTTTGATTTGTATTATGGGTTGTTTCTGTATAATAGGAGTGCCTTGGAGATGCTGGAGAGGTTGGATTTGGCTTTTGATGCTTTGAGGAATGAGCTTTTTGGCAGGTTGCATCGTGTTGTGAGGAAACAGTTGTTTGAGAACGGAGGGAAGGGAAAGAGTCTGCAAGATATTAGTCACCAAAATGGTGCTGCTTTGGCTTCAAGCTCAAATGCTTTGAGGTAATTCTTTGATTCGACTTTTGTTTCTTTAATTGTTGATTCAATTCAACATGCATGGCATTGATAGGAGCTATGCTTTAGCTTTAAAAGACTGACTTTCTTTTTCAATTGAAAGTAAATATGAAAAATTATCAAAATAAGAATTTAGAATTTTTCGTGGCTTATGATTGTTTATGTTTAATACTTTTCTTTCAATAGTTGTTTAATATTAAATTTGTAGAATTTGTTTAGAAGGAGAGATTCTTTTTTCCCAATTTAGTTATTGGAGTAAATTTGGCTTTAGGAATACATATCAAGATCATGGACTGAGTTGTTAGGAACGAAGGATTTCAATATCAATTTTCTTCGTTGACTTGTTTGATATCTGATTTAATTCGTCATAGATCTAGGATTGGAAGACCTCTAAAACTGTTTGGGAGAAAGTAAGTTTAGATTGCTGAGCTACAAAATCTCTTCCTATAACGTATTTATAGGCTTTTCTTCCAACTTTCAGATCTCGAGATGTTGTTGTACCTTATGAATTCAAAGGAAAGATGTCTGAAAGTTTTGATGAGAGTTCAAAGCTCAAGCTTGCAATTGTTGGATTTGGAAACTTCGGCCAGTTCCTCGCGAAGACCCTGACTCACCAGGGCCACTCAGTTTTAGCTTATTCAAGAAGTGATTACAGTGATGTAGCTCGGAAATTGGGGGTTTCTTTCTTCTCTGATGCTAATGACCTCTGTGAAGAGCACCCAGAAGTTATTCTTCTGTGTACCTCGATTCTTTCAACTGAAAAAGTTCTGAAGTCATTGCCCCTTCAGAGATTGAAGAGAAGTACTCTGTTTGTTGATGTACTATCAGTGAAAGAGTTCCCAAAGAATTTGTTTCTTCAACATTTACCATCAGATTTTGATATTCTATGCACACATCCCATGTTTGGACCAGAAAGTGGTAAAAATGGGTGGAATGGGCTTCCTTTTGTTTTTGATAAGGTGAGGATTGGAAGTGATGAAAGACGAGTAGCTCGGTGTAATAGCTTCCTTGATGCTTTTGCACGAGAAGGATGCCGAATGGTGGAGATGACTTGTGTAGAACATGATTGGCATGCAGCAGGTTCACAGTTCATTACCCACACGATGGGCAGGGTTTTGGAGAAGCTAGAATTGGAGTCTACACCAATTAACACAAAAGGGTATGAGACTTTGTTGAAGTTGGTGGAGAATACAGCTGGAGATAGCTTTGAACTTTATTATGGGCTGTTCATGTATAATGTAAATGCAATGGAACAGCTTGAGAGAATGGATTTTGCCTTTGAGTCATTGAAGAAGCAGCTCTTTGGTAGATTACATGGTGTTCTTCGAAAGGAACTATTTGGAAATTCAGAGAAGTATGAGGTTTTGCAGGAGAAATCTCATGAGCAAAATGGTGCTGCATTTTCATCTTCTCCGGGGAGTGTTAAAATCAGTTAGCTCTGTGTTTTCGTTTTACCTGTAAGTTGTATGGCTAATTCTTTCTTTATCTTATTGTAGGTTGTACTATTTTTTGGCCATTTGTTATATTATTTAATTGTCAAAAGTTCAAAATGCTTTTTAAGCCAAAATTTCTTAAACCAAGGCTTTAATGTCGATTTTAAAGATGGTTCTTGCTGGAGGGCATGGTAGCTCAAACAGTTGCCAGGAGCAGAACTGCGATGTTGATTTTGATAATTCACGGATTTTTACTAGGACACAAATATTTTATGCACCATTGCAGTCTAATCTTGTATGTTTCATCTAATCTTATTTGTTTCATCTCAGCTATACTGTGTTGCTAAACAGTAAATTTTAGCCCCCTTAACTTTATCTTTTTCTCTCTCTCTCTCCACCCCCTTTTAATTAGTATAATTCTGTTCTGATTGATATAATACTTATGTATGTATATTTTTTGATATAATACATATGTATGTATATTTTTTGTCTATGTTTGTTAATTAATTTATTATCAGTTTATCATTCTAATATTGATTTGGCATTGTTTACTTATTCTTGTGAAGGATTTCACTTTATTTTTTTCTACATTATGGTGACTGGGTCTCCCGCGGCTCACTGAAATCAGCAGTGAAGAAGGCCTTATCGGTGGTGTACCAACCTCGTGCACATCGTCATGCTGCAAAAAGAAATTTTTTTTTATATACCGTGGGAACCGAATGATGCCAACATGAAGTTCTGTTTCTGAATAAATTAGAAGTGTAGACTAACAAAGACAATTGAGCACTGAGATACGAAACATTCATAGAAGAGGAATTGTTGGAAGTTGACATGAGTCTTAGTCATCATAACAATGAAAGAAATGTTGGTGATTTGATTTCAAGTGAGTTATGGCCCCAGGAATGTGATGCTTCACGCGCATATTTGCTGTGTTTCCTTTGGTTTTCTTGTTTCGTGACTTGTTGGGAGGATATTGATGTAACATTTTTTTTTCATTTATTCTTTGGAAGAGAGGTAGGCGACTGTTGTGCCATTTTTTTTTCTGTAGCAATCGTGTTACTCCATTTTGTTTATGAGTAGGAGCTCCACCAAATAATTTTTCACATCTTATTGTGGCGATTATCATATATAAGAGAAAATACATTGATTCATTGCTAGTAATTTAATCTCCAGTCTGCTTTTTCACTCAAAATACTTGTGCAATGTATTGTTTCTCTGCACAGACCTATCTGAATCAGCAATTCTCTTCAGAACCTTGAGATTTACAGTCTTATTTGCAGGTCAAGGTCTCCTTTAAAGTCGGTTATTCTCTTCTCTCCTTTCTTCATCTTTCATGCCTTGTCATTGATTGCTTGCTGGATTGAAGTATTGACATTCATTAGGAATAAACTAGGAACTTAGACTAAAAGTAAGAACAGCTTTGCTTGCAGGAATGAAGTATATGCATTCATTAGGAATAAACTAGGAACATAAGACAAAGTAAGAACAGCCCTGTTCCGTCGCTGTGATGTTCAAGGGTTTGCATATTTTGCATTCAGTCTGATAGTCCAGTGCTTTGAATACACAAATCCCAGATAAAACTAACAAGAAAAATTAAATTTTTGCAGCTTCAATTGACCCTTTTTCCGAGCTGGTAGTACTGGAAATAGGTACGCTCATAATCTTGCACCTTCTTGTATAATCTGGCTCTTGTCTCGCTCACCAGCGCCTCCACCGGTTCTATCTCTCTATCAGAATCTGGTGAAAAGAACACAGCAATAGAAATCCTCTCCCTTTCTGCGTTTGTCACCACTCTATGAACAGGGCTCTTAAATATTCCATTGCTCATTATCTGTGCATATTAAGAGGCACCAATAATGTAAGTCACCCATGCAGTTTCAGTTTCATGTCATGAAATAGAACCCAAACGCTGACTAAACTCATTTGCTAGGGGTGAACTTGTTATCCAAATCTATAAGCTCTATTTTCAGTCATTCAAGCGAAGCTGAGCATTAGTCTGAACTCTGACGGAGGCTGACTAGTATGAGATAATCTCAGTAGTTATTAGTTATTACCTCTGTTTGATCACCAATGTTAACCAGAAGAGCATGAGGAAGGATTGGAACTCTAATCCATTGTTCATCTTTCTGGAATTGAAGGCCTTCCACTTCTTTATCCTGCAAGACAATGGTGATTACGGATCCATCTGCATGTGGCTTGAGGCCAAGAGTCAGATCAGGCCTTGAACAGGGTGATAGAAGTTGAATCTTCCATGCATAATTGATCGCTCTCCAAGCTGGTCATAAAAGCAGTTTTCTTTCAAGTTCAATTACCTCTTCAGGGCCTTCAGCAGGACCTCAATTATCACTTGTAACTTCAGGATATACTCATTTAATATTACCCTGCAGCAATAGTGAAGGTTAACTTCTACTGTTCAAGTATTCATTCTTGGTGGATAACTAATGATAGCATTGTTTTGGATTCCCTGAACACAGAAACATAGCAGGAGCATAAATAAAGGTGAAAGGTGTTCTCTCTCCCTCTGTTCCCCCTTTTGTTGCAAGTTGCACATAGTCCCAAGGCAGAATTAAGAAGAAAAGGAAATTGTTTTTGGAATTTTAATGCTCCTAGCTTCTTTCACAATCTAACAGCTTGGGAGCTGTTAGTCCGACTAGAACTCTTATAAACAATAGAGTTAATTAGTAGTAATAATACCATTGTGCACCCCTTCTGTATCAATAATACTTCAGTAAGTTATGAGCTTCTGGTAAAAAAGAGAGGTCACATGAACAACTACCTAAAATCCTCAGGATTTTCAGGCCAGTATTTGAGTTTTCGCTTATCTTCTGGGTCTAGGATGATATACAAACGGTCATTCCAAACAAGAGTTTGTTGGTTGGAAAAAATGATGTCATTTCCATGTCTTTCCATGCTGTCAGATTCTCTGGAGTATTTCTGCTTCTGTTCCATTGGAAGTGAAAAAAATTGTTTGGTTACTTCCCGTACTTTGTCTAGGAATAAAGATGTTATGCCATGATTGATCACCTGAAATTCCAATATCATGTTTAGTTGTTGAAGATAATGCAAGCTCCAAATATTGGGTCTTAAATAAATTTATGCAAAGATGCAAAAAGCATGGATAGAATTAATAGAAGCAACAAGTTTGTGTAACCACTGCCAGACCTGAAAGCATCCCAATGAGCTGAGAGCTAGTCTAAGCCTTTCATGCTCTTGTCTGCTGTTTGATGAAGAAGTGAGCTGATCAAGATCAATAACTGGAATCTTCGAAAGGGGAAGAGAAGCATCTAGCACCCCACCAGGACAGTCTTTAGTGCCTTTACAGATATATCTTTTTGGTAATCCTTCACCGTTGATTACCAATTCTTGGACAGTTTTGGGTGGGGACTTTTACCTGAGCAGGAAGGATAGATTCAGCCATATTGTCTTCAGAAGCAGTTTTTGAGTTTTAAGTTGGATTGCTGTAATTACAGAAAGGTTATCTAAATGAGGTTTGTTGGTGACCTGCTATCTAAATGAGGTTTTCTTGTTGTATCCGAATATGAATGATATTTATGTAAGGAGATGATTAAAAGATATTTGATTCTTGCACGCAGTTTCAAGCCTAGATGAGCCAACTATGTTCTGCATACACCTCATACTTACAGCGCATATAGATTTTGTTGGCTGCTTTATGTTCACATTCAAACATACCATGTCTTAATACTAGCTGCTCATTTTCTATCCAGATCAAGTTTGATTACTAGTAACAGGTATCCTTGTATGCTGAAAAGTCTCAGAATTGACACGAGGTGGTTGTGGCTGAAATTTAAGGTGCAATGCGTGATGGACTTAAGTTCTCAAATTTTTGCAATGGGACATTTAAGAGTTTGAAAAGGCCAAGATATTGAAGGGTAGAAAAGGGCACATTGTTTTGCTTCTAATTGATGGCACGCTTTTAGTTATCTTTTCTCTGAATTCTTAAATGAAGGGTATTTTTTGTATCAATAAGGATAATATTGTTTCTGGCAAATCAGGTTTTTTTTTTTTTTGTATCCTTTGTTCAGATAGCAGTTTTGAGATCTTCATTTTGTTGACTAAAATTTCGTTGGCAGAAATGCTTCAAAATCTTCTTGTTGTCATAGACATGATGAATGAAAAGAGAATGCTGTAATTGTCACGCCCTGGGCGGGCGCGCCAGGCGCATCAGGCAGATCAACAGGCGAGCCAGAGGTTCAGGCCTGCAAACCAGGCGTGCTGATGGGTATCTGTGCGCAAAGCTTAGCAAATGAGCTCAGAACGCCCGCCCGACTTGTAGGCCAGCCCATGAGACCAAGGCCTGGCATACAAGCTGCCCGCACCACATCCAAAAGGGCCCAAGGTGCTAGATACGCAAGGGAAGCTTCTGGAAGCAGGCAAGATCAGCAGCAGCATCCTGGCAGATTTGGTTGACCCTGAAAATCAGGAGCCAGCATCTTGATTGATTGTAATCCCATGATTTTAGCCTTTATTCTAGGGATTTGCCATTAAGTTGTAGTTAGAGCCTCAACTATAAATAGAGGGCTGCTCCACCCTCATTTGGACACCATCAAACACTTCTGTTTCAGTGAATACAAGAGCATTTCCAGAATTCTGTCTTCCTGTCCTGTTTCTCTTTAACTTGCATAATCAGCCCTTCCCATTGTTCTAGTGCCCGCACGCTTGTGTTTTAGGCTGACTTAGGCATAAAAGAGGAGATTCCAAGCCTAAGGCCACACGGATTCTGAGTCTAAGGTCGGAGCCCGTGACAGTTGGTATCAGAGCAAGTTCGATTCTGCGTGTTTGTGTTGTGCAGGTTAGATCGTGATTGAGGAGATGGCATCCCAAAGCGACGTTGCTAGCCAACAACCAGAGGCCTAGGAGCATGGCCGGGGAAGAGGCAAGAAAGCCAATTCTAGAGATATCTGGTCTACCATGGACGGTAGGCTGGCCAAGGTGGAGGTGACCATTGGCGACATGGGGGAGAAGCTTGAGAAAATCGAGACTCACATTGTATCGCTAGACTCCATGGGGGAGGAGATCCAAAGTGGGCTGGAAGCTGCCCTCAACAGAAGCCTGGATGCGATCACCCAGAAGAACCAGACCTTGGAGGCTGAAGTGCAGACCTTGCGCGATGGCATGGAGGCCATGCGCCAGCGGATGGAGGAGCTTGCCAGTGAGCTCGTTGTTTGCAAGACTGCCATTGGGAATGGCATGTTTGCTGGAGTGTCCAAATCTAAATTGGATGTCCCCAAGCCTAAGGAGTTTAAGGGGACTAGGGCGGCTAAGGAAGTAGACAACTACTTTGGGGTATGGAGCAGTACTTCTAGGCCATGGGCATGCAAGACGAGGTGATAAAGGTAAGCACCGCTGCTATGTATCTCACTGATGTAGCCTTATTGTGGTGGAGGCGTAGGTGTGATGATGTCAGGCGTGGGAACGCCAAGATTGGAACCTGGGCAGAGTTTCAAAAGGAGTTCAGAGAACAATTTTACCCGGAGTATGCCGATGATGAGGCGCGGGCAAAGTTACGCAGGCTGAGCCAGCAAGGGGATATAAGGGAGTATGTCCAGAAATTCTCTGAACTAATGCTACAGATCTAGGATCTAGGCGAGAAGGACGCCTTCTTTGCTTTCATGGATGGGCTGAAGCCG